CAGAGGAGCAGGAAGGCTGACGTTTTGGGCCTAGACCCTTCTTCAGAGAGGGTCATTTCTGAAGAACGGTCTAGGCCTGAAACGTCAGCTTTCCTGCTCCTCTGATGCTGCTTGGCCTGCTGTGTTCATCCAGCTCTACACCTTGTTATCTCAGGTTCTCCAGCATCTGCAGTTCCTACTATTTTTGATCTCTAACTTTGTTTATTGACGAAAGCTGGCATTCCCAACACCATCCTGCAAGGGCAAGATTAAGAATGGCAAGTCTGTTTATTACAAACTGTGAACAAGCCTATTGTGACAGAGCATTGGAATTCAAACATATTAGTACAAGCACTATCTCTCAATGTTACAGCAGACAATTTCAGATTGATGAAGATAGGCTTCATGTTCATGGACTGTGCTTAGTGGCTCTCCAAGAGATGGAACAAACAAGTAGTATTTACAAACAGATATCAAATCAAGGTTTTCAGGATATCAAGAGGAATCGATAAGTTAGCTAAAAACAGACTATTTCCGTCAGTTGCTGGGGATGGGTTAGGACTCAAGGACATAGCTGAAAACTGACAGACAGATCTTTCTAGAGTGAAGTTTTGAAATACAAATGATGATAAAGGTTCCTGGAGGGTTTGTTACTGAGAGTTCTCGCTTTAACTGATCAAACTCACCTCATTAATTACCTATCATACCCCAATGGAGTCACTCCCCTCTGATTCCTGCCCCATCCTACTATGCACTGTTCCTGGAATAACTCACCACTCAGCAGACATGCCAGAAGTCATCAGTATTACTTGCACCCCATGCTAGCATATTTAAAACCATGCTGTGCACCCAGAGAAGTACTTCAATCAATAGCTTCCTCACATGGTTCTTGAGATTTGCTCACAAATGGCAGATGGGGGAAATCAGTGTTCCATTTTGTGAGCAGCGACATGGGCGGCCTGTTAGATGGAGTAATGCAGATGCAGGATTTCCACCTCTGCCAGGACCACCAGCAATGGCTGTAACACCAGACCATTCCAGCCTGGTTCAAGGTTTCCACCTGGGTTAGACTTGATTATCACTGAATCATCATAGAATCCTTACAGTGTGGAAACAGGCCCTTCGGCCCAATATGTCCACTCCGACCCTCAGAGCATCCCACCCAGACCCATCCCCCTATAACCCACCTAATCTACACATCACTGAA